TTAGCATTCGAGGGTTCAAGCGAGCGTATGGTTTCCAGAGCCACGCCGCCCAAACTCGAACGCAAATATTGTAATTTTTCAATGTCGCTTAGCTCATCATCATTTCCGTTGACGGTAGTGAAAGTCGCAAGGAAATCCGGCCACTCAGAGTAGGATCCATGAAAACGAACAATTTCCAAATTTGGCAACCGAGGCTTCCTAGATCGAAAAGAAAGATCCGCATTATTAGTGATGTATATAGATGTTGAATTTGCAGCGGTTGAAGCCGGCAATTGCGACTTGCGATGAGCAGCCAAGCCTCGGCTTAGTTTGGCCTTCACATCCATGAAAACCTCGGCAAATTCAATCCGATGGTCGCTCGAGATCTTTGCAAAATCCAGTCTTTCCAACTATGTCTGCGCAAAATCAAATGCCTGGTTTATGGAATTGATCCAATCCATTCGCGCCAGCAAATCAGCTTCGTCAAACTGATTAACCGCATCAGCGTTTAAATAGCATTTCATCGAGCTCATTTGCCGCAAAACAGATTGGGCTTTGACTCGGTAGTAGTCGATGTCACTTGTGGATTCATTTTGAGCCCGAACCGAGTTTTCCGTATCGGACATTTTTTAATCACGAGAAAGGAAAAAAAATTAAATGAAAATGAAATAAAATAAAATGTCCGACCGCGTTAGAGCCACAAAACACCGTATACCCTTTGCCGCGAAAACGTGAAGGTTAACAAGCGTCGCCGAGATGCAACGGAACCCTTAACTTGGTTGTTGTTGTTCTTGCCGATAAATTGCCTGCCTAGCAACAGCGAATTATGTAACTGGAAAACGAATGTATGTATGGCTATATGTCGGGGTCACCAAATGTTTGTGGGGAAGACAACAAATATGCCACCCTTATATTTATAATTAATAACGCACGAATAGGTTATATTAAAATGTATAGCGTTTATTCGGAGCGGCAGACGGACTGTGAATGTGTAAAAAGCTTGGCTCCAAGATCTTCATATAGACATACGCAGGCTTACAAAGTAGTTGCTGAATAGATAAGCGACAGCTTTAGTGGTATAAGAAAGAAGGCGAAAGATAAGCATAGAGCGCTGCAGGTGCCGTCGTACACCTATACGCGCATGACTAGGCGCTGGCGATCTGCTCCGAACATACATAATTGTAAACTCATAAAATTCTTTGGCGGAGGTTTTGTTTGAATCTCAAGCCACAATAAAGATTATTTCATTTGGAACAACCGAACAGAAGACATCAAGTGTATATTTAAAATCTTATCACCATCAGGAGCAGTAATTAAAAGTTACTATAACTCCTGCGATGTGCCTGGCAAACCAACAGATCGCCGTCATCAAAACATCGTCTTAAGGAAGCCACTCGCACACTGAATCAAGCTCTAAAGCAAGAAACAGAAAATGTACAGCTGCGGAACCTTAAAAAACTTTCGCCAACCAGTACAAAACATCCTCTGTGAAGGGCTCACCCAAATCTGAACTCTGCAATCGAAAACGTCACTCCGATAAGAAATTCATCTGGCAGCTGGGTCCGCAGCGACGAAGTTAGATCCGAAACTTTTTCTTTACATCTCAGAAACGTCTTCCAGCCGAACCAGGCCACTGCTTCATTTGTCCTACCACAAATCGAATCTGAATCTATTTCCCTACCACCATGGTTTCAGCCAAAGGAGATCGCGAAAGTCATTGGGGAACTGAGACCGAAAAAGGCCCCTACTGGTTACCAAATAACCCCAGGACGAGCCACAACACAGCTAGCAATCAACTTCCCCGTAGTAGAGAGGTGGCTATCTGATTGGCGGGTTAAAAATGTAAACACGTAACGTTTACTCTTAACAGGCAAACATGCCCTCCACTATCATTGAATAATACGCAGATTCCCAATGTCAACGATGTAACGTATCTCGGCGTCCACCTTGACAGACGACTAACCTGGAGAAGACACATCGAACGCAAGAAAGTACATCTAAAACTAAAAGCCAGCAGCTTTTACTGGATTCTTAACGCTCGTTCGCCCCTGCGTTTGGACTACAATGTTTTGCTCAACATTTTCACTCTCAAGCCCATCTGGACATATGGCTCCCAGGTATGGCGGAACGCCAGCAGCAGCAACATAGACATTATTCAATCGAATATCCTGCGTGCTAGCACTGGGGCACCATGATATATTCGCATCCAAAACATCCACAGTGACCTTGCCGTAAAAGATGAAATAGACAAACAAAAAGCGTCCTACAATGAAAAACTCTCTGTGCACCCCAATCGCCTCGTAAGAGGCTTGACTTGGGTTTCCAGCCGATCCCGTCTACAACGCAACGACCTGCCAAGCCATCAATAACTTTCGGGCCCCCTTTAGCACAATATCAGTCATATGACTGTTAGTTAGATTAATTAGTTTAAGATTTGATACACTTATTGTTAGTCGCTAAAGGGAGAAGATTTAATAAAAAACCAGCAAAGCATTTAGAAAAAAAAAAATTTGGGGATAATAAAGTTTTGTTTTCTTTGCGATTGAGCTGGAAGAAGTTTCTGAAACAAGTAAGACGCTTAACGGGTGCACACAATCTTTTGAAAATAAATTGATGTCTTAAGGTCAATCCACTGACTAAGGCTAAGGTCAAGAATATTATTGACTAAGTGGGAAGTTTGGTAAGTGCGACGAAGATTAAACACGTGATGGACGATTGAATTACAAGCAACAGTTAATGTTTGCGTATCTTGAGTGTCGCAATGACCAAAAATTTCAACACCGTAAAACAGGGTGGGGTAGCTGAGTTGGCAAGAACTACTGAGAAGTAGTAAGCTGTCTCAGAAGCGCTTATGCTTGCCCAGCTGCTTTGTAAATATGTTTGCTCCATGTTACCGTTTTATTAAAGGTGATACCCAGGTTGCCTGCAGATTCTTCATATATTATTGGGCTATTGCCAATTATTACAACCGAGAGTTGCGAAGTGTCGAAGGGTTTTTTGTAAATAACTATAAACTTGCTTTTTTTAGCTTAGACATAGTCCGTTTGCAATGGCCCAGTTATAAATTTTGAAAAGTATAAATTATACACACTTTTACAATTATTGACTTGACATAGGGACTTACTAGCATAGAACTGCACATTATCAGCGTATAAATGGACATCACCAAGGGACAGAACATTATGTAAGTCATTTACATAGATGGAAAACAATAAGGGCCCTAACACAGAACCTTGGGGAACACCTCTAGTCACCGAAACAATGCGGGAAGTACATAACCCAGACACGACTGCTTGTTGTCTACCTGATAGATACGACCTCAAGAGCATAACTGCAGAGTCCTAAAAATTGAAGAGGTTCCTTAGCTTGGTGCTTAGAGTACTATGGTTGACGGTGTCGAAGGACTTGCTGTGATCAAGTAGAGTCAATAACGTTACCCAATTTTTATCTATCCTTGATTGAATGTCCTTAACTACATCAGTAATGGCACTAATACAACTCCTATTTTTCCTGAAACCAGATAGCTTCTCAATGGGCATGGAATTTTTATCCATAAAGGGTTGTATCTGTATCGCCGGTATATTTTCATAAGTTTTTGATAAGAAAGAAGGAAGGACTTAAAAATAATAGTTTTTCTTCATACGATTAATAACTCAGGCAACCCAATTACTTTTGAGACATGATTCGTTCTACGTTTTCACCAAGAACAAATACATAAAAAAACTTGCATGTTTGGAGAAACTATTTCTTGAATATGCTATACGAATTTGAAACTCGTTGGTTATAATTTTAAAAAGATTACTAATACCTCAAAATTTATATATAAGCTTCAACAACACTTTAACACACTGACATAAATGAAAAATAATTAGGGTATTCAATTGCGTTGCAAAAGTGTAAACTTTGCAAGTTTGCCAGACGAGAATTGTGAACGCCCTCTATTTTAAAATATCGTTGCAGGAAATGACGTACAAAATAACGCCAACTTTTAAATTTTTGTGAAAAGAAGGCTATAATATTTTCTGTCATTAAAACCCAACTTTTCAGTATATTTTTAGTATTTAAGATAAAATTCCTACCCATTATTAACCCCCTATTTCTACACAAGTACAACAGATTTGTATACATAGGCTGGGGTGTTGTAGGCCTTGAAAACTATTTTGTATGGAAATTGTTGTTGGAACTGCTTACACTTTTACACTTTTCAAACGATTGCAACGCAATCGAATACCCTAAATATATTATTGAAAAGGCTTTTTAAAAAACTTGACTATCAGATACCCGTTACTTAGCTAAGAGAGTACTGGGTTGCACACCGTAAAAAACGCCACCTAGCGTTCATTCCTATCGCCTGTTTACGAGACTTTACTAACACTAGCGTCTATAAAAATGAAGAAGGGAGATGGAGATGGGAACAGCAAAGCAGCAATATTGTACTTCCCGAAACCTCGCCTCCTAGTCATTTGCTTCTAACTTCTTAATAGATGACCCGATTTGGACAATTTTTGGCAAACAAACAAAATTGCATTAGCACTTTTAAAAAATCTCAAAACGTGGGAGCTAGACAAGTTTTATGGGCGTTTGGGGGCTTTAGAGTGGGCGTGGCACCATGCTGAAATAAACTTGCGCTCTCTCTGAACCTCAAGAATCTGCATCCCAACTTTCTGGGTCTACCTGTTACATACTTTGCGACGAATCTTGTGTACCATTTTACCCTACGAGTAACCGGTATAACAAATACGTTGGAACAAGATACTCCCCATTACACTAAAATCAGCCTGCTTTATACAAACTGTCTAGCTTTTATACAGGAAATCAGACAAGCAGGCGGACAGTCAGTCCTGGTCAGACCTGGTTCGAAAATTTCTGCTTTGTCTTATTGCAAAGAGTGCGCAGGGTAATATTACCATACGAAGGATGTACAAATCTCTACATTTCATGGCAGCAAATATATTTTACCAATTATATAGTTATACATGAGTACCAATGCCTTAATTTTATTATTGATATTTTTTCTTAAGGTGGTTCCCAACTCCTGGAAAATTAAAACATTTAGCTGAAGTACATCTAAACCATACGTTAGAACTATTTGGAAAGATTTATTGTTTTCGGATGGATGTCTGTGGCAAACAAGTAAGCATAAACATATTTTTTTAAAGCTTTTTACTTATTTTTTAACTTTAAGATTGGACCATCATACGTTTGCCTCGAAATTAATTCACTTACATTTGGAGAGCTCAAAATTTTTCAATATATTACCCCAATTGAGCCGTTGTTGCAAAAAGTTGTACATCAATTTTATGGTCCCCGTTGGATGGGACCACTTATGAAAATTTTCATTTATGGAGAAAGTCTAATGGTAAAGAAAATATTTAAGTCTGTACCCCTTATAAGAAACTAATTATTTTACTTTTAGTTTGAACGCGATATAAACATATGGAACAATAAAATATTTAATCGGAATCCTATCTTAGCTAAAGAAGATGCTTCAATAAAGAAGTTTAGAATCTGGTTTTCACAATTCTACACATCCAACAGCAAACCATATTCTGAAGTCAATGCTGGCTGGTAGTAAACAAATTCGATGGTAGATTTAAAAAATTGTCATTAAACACAGGAAAATCCACAGTTTGTTTTAAAAAGGCAAATACTTTTGTTGCCAGCTAGCCCCTCATCGAGCTTCACAACATTTTTAAAATTATTTTTGAGGAATTTATTTATATCATCGCATACTTAAAAATATGCACTTAGATAATTTACTTAAAAAATAAAAGCAAAAGTCAATAATCTTTCTTACTGTCAAGAAAGCGTTTTTATCACAGCTTAACATTGGGAAACTGCGTAATGCAGCAAATATATATTCAATGTAGTCCCAGGGGAATGTGATAAAGTTGTTTAATGCAGCGATAAAAAGTTAACATAACAAGGTAATGAAGAGATTCCCTTGGAAATATATCTTTTTGATTCTAAGAAAATAGGACGACCCAACATCTTGCCACCATTAAATCCCTGTTGTTGTTGTTGTTATATATTCTTGATCAGAATCACTAGTAGAGTCGATCTAGCCATGTCCGATCTCGGAAATTATAAAAGCTAAAAATTTGGAATTTGGAATGTAGATTCTTGCCCATAACGCTAGCACCTACGTTTTTAAGTATCTTTGAAAAAATTAAAAAAGATCTTGTTATACCCGTTACTCGTAGAGTAAAAGGGTATACTAGATTCGTCGGAAAGTATGTAACAGGCAGAAGGAAGCGTTTCCGACCCCATAAAGTATATATATTCTTGATCAGGATCACTAGCCGAGTCGATCTAGCCATGTCCGTCTGTCCGGATGAACGCTGAGATCTCGGAAACTGTAAGAGCTAGGCTATTGAGAATTGGCATGCAGATTCCTGAGCTTCTTACGCAGCGCAAGTTTGTTTCAGCAATGTGCCACGCCCACTCTTACGCCCACAAGCCGCCCAAAACTGTGGCTCCTACAGTTTTGATGCTAGAATAAAAATTTTAACTGAAGTGTATTGTTCTCATGTATACTACATGTGTCACTGTGAACGGCAGTCCACGTAGTGACGAAGCGCACCAGCAGGGCGTGCGAAGGCGACTTCTATATATACACCAAGAAATGAAAATCAACTGTAATCGCCCGGTTGTTCCGAGATACATCAATCGAAAGGTATTGCAAAAACTAAGAGGATTACATACCAAGACTTAAAAAAAACAATTATTTTGGGAGAAACAGCGGTGAAATTTTAAAAGTGATAATTTAGAAAATTTGATTTGTTAGGGCCGGCGATAAACACCCCCGCTGTTAATCTACTTGTGTTCGCCCTAAAAACACGCGTCTAATGACACCTAAACTGTCAAAATCGGATGCTCCGTTCAAAAGTAATACGCAACAATATAAGAAGCATTAGTTCTAGTAATACGCACCAATATAAGAAACATTAGTTCTACCACTTTTGGAAAAACTAGCTAGTTTCGCGAGAAAACAGATATAAATAGCCAAATTTTGCACACCTGTAACTTGTGAACTACTAAAGCTACAGAAGGGTGCTATATGTCGTTAGAAAGGTATTTTAAAATGCTGTGTACGCCATTCTAACACAATTTGTCTTAATACCAAAGTTTTAGGATTATGGGCAAAAGTTTTTTTCATTACATTTTCTTTAGCCTTTTTCCTTATTTCTCAAGAACGGCTCAACGATTTTAAATAAAATTTTAAGGTGTAATGTGAAATGTAACTTTTGACATAAGACACATTGTTGTAAAAGGTCTCGTTTCAAGGAAATTAATGAACAACAAGAAAAGAAGTTAACTTCGGCAAGCCGAAGCTTGTATACCCTTGAAGTTATAATTATTAACTGTAACAGGGAAGAACGCTATCAGATATCCGTTACTCAGCTAAAGGGACTAAAGGGAAATGGAGATATGCAAGCAGCAAAGCGTTAGAGTTTGCGTGGCAATAGATAGATGTTGACGAGACCATTACATTTCAGTTAAAATGTTGTATTTAGCATGAAAATTGTGGGCGCCACAGGCTTGGGTGGTTTTTTGGCGTTAGAGTGGGCGTGGCATAGGTGCGTATAAAACTTGCGCTGCGTACAAAGCTACGGGATCTAAATCTGAGATCCCAATTCTCTATCTTAGATACAGATATCCACGTACGATTTTTTGAAGTTTGTGGGCGGTTTGTGGGCGTTAAAGTGGGCGTGGCAAAATGCGTACACTTACTAGCATGAAAATTGTGGGCGCCACAGGCTTGGGCGGTTTGTGGGCGTTAGAGTGGGCGTGGCATAGGTGCGTATAAAACTTGCGCTGCGTACAAAGCTACGGAATCTAAATCTGAGATCCCAATTCTCTATCTTAGATACAGATATCCACGTACGATTTTTTGAAGTTTGTGGGCGGTTTGTGGGCGTTAAAGTGGGCGTGGCAAAATGCGTACACTTACTCGCGTACGACGCCGGAAGTATTTTTCGGCACGGCTGCAAGATCCTCATCTGGTCAACTGAATACCCAGAAGGGCTTCTCATACGCCGATGCCCTTCGATCAGGGACGGAAAACCCACTCCAGTCTAATCTAGGAAACACTCACCAAATCCAAGTACAGCCACAAAGCACTCTGGAATCTATGATGGTCACCATGCAACAAAGTATGATGGAATTCATGTCATTCATGAAAACGACCATACAAACACTGGTTCAAAACCAAAACATGGTGTTACAGCTTCTTGCAGCTAAGCAATTCAAATAACAGATGGGAAATCTACGAATAACAATGTGGAACGCTATGGCGTTTCACGGCACAACCTTGAAGTAACACAGTTCCTGAATGATAATCATATCGACATTATGCTTCTGGTAGAGACGCACCGCACAAACAAATACAACTTCCAAATAAGAGGCTACACTTTCTAACGCACAGACCATACAGACGGTAAAGCCCACGGCGGTTTGCAACTAATTACGTGCAAGCCACGTCTATCAAAAAGCAGTCAGGTAACGGGAACCTCACCATAGCCGCTGTCTACTGCCTGCCTCGCTTTACAATTTCTGAAGGACAATTCATGGACTTCTACAATTTGCTTGGAGATCGCTTTATAGCTGCAGGGGACTATAATGCCAAACACACGCACTTTGGATCACGCCTTGTGACTCCCAAAGGAAGGCAATTATACAATGCAATCATAAAACCGAACAACAAATTAGACTATGTTTCCCCTGGCAGCCCCACATACTGGCCAACAGACCCCAGGAAAGTTCCAGACCTAATAGAGTTTGCGGTGACAAAAAACATTCCCCGCAATATAATAAGCGTCAAAGCGCTTTCGGACCTGTCGTCAGACCATTCGCCAGTGCTAATAACTCTTCTTCAAAGCAAAAAAACTACAGATCACCCCCTCGGGCTGACGTCACAGAGAACCAACTGGTTTAAATTTAAAAAGTATGTAAGCTCTCACATCAAATTAACCCCTCACTTCAACATCGAAGCGGACATCGATTGCTCTATCGATGCTCTTAAAGAAGTATTCGTGCAGGCAGTCACTATCTCAACACCACTAGGCAGGGACGTGCAAGCCAACCACTTCAAAACTAATCTGCAAATTGAACGGCTAGTCCTATAAAAGAGGCGCCTGAGTTACCATAACGGTACCATCAACTACGCCACCGCCTAAACCTCCCCGTGCTACCCTTTTTCAATTGGACAGTGACCGGCAGTTAGCCGTTCGTTGTCCCACATAGGATCGACATAAGAAATGCAACATCAGCACAAGGCAGGATGTTGCTAAACGACACCCACTCAGCAGAGCTCTAGAAAATACTTTCTTAGCATTTACACACCCACACATACATAATTGTAAACACTTAAAATTCTTTGGCGGAGGTTTTGTTTGAATCTCAAGCCACAATAAAGATTATTCCATTTGGAACAACCAAACAGAAGACATCAAGTGTTTATTTAAAATCTTATCACCATCAGGAGCAGTAATTATAAGTTTCTATAACTGGCGCAGGACCAAAATGATAAAAACAATTATTTTTATATTTTATATGCAAAAGTAAGTTTAAAATAATAATGTGATGGAAGTGAGGTGTGTGGTGTAAATAGAAAAAAAAAGGGTGCACATTTATAATAACGATAAAATTTTGAAAGGCATAAAATGAACAAAAACAAAGAACATTGGCAAGAATAAGTTAATTGAAATAATGTGTTGACTGTGAAACGCAACCTGGCGACCCGCAACCATAGAGTAAGAATCTATATAGAGGTTTCAATTGCTCTGCCCGAACCTCTGCCCAACCTCTGCTAAGAACCCATTCAAGGCCAAGTTTGAAGCTAACTTAGGTGCGAAGCAACAGCAATAGGGATTTCGATTAAAAACAAAAACAAAACAGTGAGCAAGAGCGGTGCAGAATGAGGTGGGAAGGAATTACAAGTTCGATCGAACTTGTCAAAAAGAGGGGAAATAAGCATTTTTCGCCTAGGTGGCATCATAGCCTCATTATCTAAAGAGAGCGGCAGAGCAATTGGCGCCTCTATATAGTTCATTACTCTATGCCGCAACGTCATCGAACCATATAGTTCGACGGAGTGAGTTGTGAGTATGACGTTCGAAGGTTCGATGTTGGAAGCGAACGTCAAACATGCAGCTTGGGGAAAGAAACTCAGGTCGCTGATTAAATACTCTGCCTGTGTCAATAAATGAAAAAAAAAAATAAAATAAATAGAAGATACCTATTGCAAGTGACTGTCCGCTCGTGGCTGGAATAAATGCATCGCGCAGGAATTCCAGTTAGCTTCAGCACGGTGCAAAAAAAAAAAACAAGTGTAGAAACAAAAATGTTATTAGTGGCTGCCATTAGTATCACTGCATCGTGCAAGGGTATTTGGTGAACCGCAAAGTTAAATAAAAGAAGGAACAAACCATAGCACATACAAGATGAAATTGTTGCCATATCGGAAACCACTGCATCGCGCAAGGGTGACGGTTAAGCCATAGTAATAGAAAAAAAAAGAAAACATAAAAATAATATATATATATGTTACAAAATTATGAGGGAATCCGATACCACTGCATCGCGCAAGGGTATAGAAGGGTATGTGAAGAAAAGTAACAAAAAACACATACACAACACTTCCAACACAATAAATTCTCAAGAAATAATAAAACAAATTGAACAAATGCTAATACCAGAATTTTACAGATAAATGACACCGACACACACCTTACTTCTAAAGAAAAGGAACGATTAGGGAACAACACACACACCAGGAGAAAAGCTAAGAAAAAAAATACATAATAATACATAGGCATAAACAAAAAAATATTAATTTAATTAGTAGAAAAAAAGAAAATTGTAAATGCCAAAAATCAGCAAAGTCAATAAATCACTTAGGCCTCTGACTAGAAGTAAAGTTATC